ACGATGGCAGCAGAAACAACAGCAACAAGAGTACTAGTAACAATTATAACAATCATGATTATTTATTTGTTTGGTGCTGAAGTGCACTTCAACCAGCGAGGGCCAACAAAGAGCAACTGGACCAATTAAAGCCACTGAACTCAACATGTCTCTAATTTGCAGCCGCATGCAGTGAGGGAGAAAATTGACTAAGCTATTATGCAGCTATGCTATAATTCTTCTGTCTTAGCTCCTGTCTGTTTAACTCTATCCATTCAATCATTCATTTAAGTGAATACCAATTAAAGTGTACTATTTTTATACACTACAGGAGCTCAGCATTAGAGTGCTGATGCGTGCCTGTAGGTCGAAAAATCGATATTGTCTCTGAATACCCACACCATGTCCCATTTCCTTACCAGAGAGGTGAAGATGTAAGTGTAGTAGACAGACAGCATTCCCAGCTCTGATGCCTGCAGAGCAAAAGATAAAGGGGGGTGTTAAAGAAAAGTATAACAGAAAGAAAGTACAAAGGGAACAAAACAGAAAGAGTTTGAACCCAAAGATGTGAAGATGGAGGTCAGCACAACAGAGAGGTGGGGGGGTGGGGGGTGGGGTAGAACAAAACAAACAGCAGAGAGAGTCAGGAATAAAAGGGGTGGAGAGAGAAGTCAAGAAGTCAATGATTCAGAGTAACTCAAGCTTCATTTTGCAGCAAAGAGATCACATCTATATCTTGATAAGACCAGCACTTTTATTATCTGACGACGGTTCTCGGTAGAGCAATTCATTTCACAGGTGCACTGGCATGCTGCTCCACACTGTCTTATATTTTGATTAAATCAAAGTCACAAGGAGGAACAGTTGTGAAGGACAGAGAGAACTTTCTTATAATTTCATTTCATTAAAGTCATTAGCAAGAATGAAAAGGAAATCATTGAGCTATAGACTTGTGTTTAATCACACTGCAATGCACATGATGATTAAAATCAGTAAGTATCAAGTAGATACATACATCAAATCAAACTGTTTCAAGAGCATCCTCTTTTACCAAGAACATCTTTTCCACAAATAACCATTTAACCCTGACTCACATTCTTCATTCTCAGGCTCCCTCTGAGAAGCTACTTAGAGGAAACCGCCTCCACACCTACCTCTACTGACATTTTCATATTTCTATAACCAACAGTTTCCACACTGACATTATTCTAAGGTTGTGCAGCATCAGAAAGTTTAATAACAGACATTTAGTTGGCACATCTCCAGTACTGGAGAGGAGAATTCGACCGATAGTCAAACCTCGGATTCAGGAGGAACAATGCGGTTTTCGTCCTGGCCGTGGAACACTGGACCAGCTCTATACCCTCTTCAGGGTGGCAGAGGGTTCATGGGAGTTTGCCCAACCAGTCCACATGTGCTTCGCGGATCTGGAGAAGGCATTCGACCGTGTCCCTCACAGCGCCCTGTGGGGGGTGCTCCGGGAGTGCGGGGTCCGGGGCCCTTTGCTAAGGGCTGTCCAGTCCCTGTACGACCGAAGCAGGAGCTTGGTTCGCATCGCCGGCAGTAAGTCAGACTTGTTTCCAGTGCATGTTGGACTCCGGCAGGGCTGCCCTTTGTCCCCGGTTCTGTTCATTATTTTTATGGACAGAATTTCTAGGCGCAGCCAGGGGCCAGAGGGAGTCCGGTTTGGGGACCACAGGATCTCGTCTCTGCTTTTTGCAGACGACGTTGTCCTGTTGGCCCCATCAAACCAGGACCTCTAGCGTGCACTGGGGCGGTTTGCAGCCGAGTATGAAGCGGCTGGGATGAGAATCAGCACCTCCAAATCCGAGGCCATGGTTCTCAGTCGGAAAAGGGGGGCTTGTTCCCTTCAGGTTGGTGGAGAGTTCCTGCCTCAAGCGGATGAGTTCAAGTAACTTGGGGACTTGTTCACAAGTGAGGGAAGGATGGAACGGGAGATTGACAGGCGGATCGGTGCAG